AGGAAAACAAGGACTAGAAATAGTCTTTGTGATCATGGGGTTTGATGGGCATCAATCCATTTAGGAAGATAGTCAGAAGCTTAGGACACAAATTGCACAAGACCTAAATTTGTTTATCTGCAGACCCACTTTGCACTCACTGCCCAGAGAAGCTCCCTAGCACACATCCCCCTTCTCAGCCAAACTTCCAGAGGGAAGGAGCCACATGCAATTTGACAACACACTAGGATGAAATGAACCATCCAGGCCACAAAGCAGGTCTTGGTGGCAGATCAAGAAATCAGATCAAGAGGTGGCAGATCGAGAAATCCCTGCTTCACCAGAAGCCAGCTCTCCATCAGGGACCATTTGCAAGGGAATGTCCCTTCAAGGGTGGTGGGTGGCATATGTCCCTGCTGAGCCCAGGAACATTACTCCCGCCTTTGATGGGTAAGCTCAGCAAGACTCTCACCAAACAACTCTTAACAGCTGCTGCACCCTGGGGATCCTCAGCACTCCCAAGGCAGAGTTGATCTGGAGCAGGATACTCTGACAGTCTCAATCTTTGAGTTCTAGCAGCAGTTCACAGGTTTGTCCAGCCTCAGCTGAAGAACAACAGCTTGGCAGACGGCTTCCCAGCACCCTGGGGACCCACCCACCTAATACTATGCTGACACTACCCCCTCCCTCCCTTTCTTGGGCTCCCTTCACTAGGCCACTACCATTGTGCTACCTCTAAATCACATTTAAATCAGCACCCAGCAGTACCCCAGCCTCTTTCTCTCTCTCAAGACCACTGCAAGCAAACAGACATTCTCAAAAGAGAAACACAAACCTCAGAGAAACACATGCCTGAGAAAAATCACTCTAGCACTCAGGTCTGCCTGCCGGTCTCTCCATGAAGCAGGGATGGTTTCAAGCAATCACCTACTCTGCAGCCACAAAGACTGTTTCTACCAGCCATGGCCCAAGCACCCTTACTTAGTACTGGTGGCCTTGTGTGGTGTACAACTTGTACTGCCTAAATGCTGAATCTTCCAGCACTCATCTCAGAACACATGCATGGAGACAAGTGCCTGCAGAGATGTTTCATGGCATTCTTGCAGAGAGCCTACCTCTCAGCCTACAAGAATCAAACCCCAAACCATGTCTTATATCAAAGCTGCAAAATCAATTGCCAGAGCTTCCTGGTGTGATGGGCAAGAATAGAAAGACTGTGTTGGTGTGGAGGCAGGGAGAAGTACTCTAAACAACATCCATGTCCTTCATCTGTGTACCTTGACAACAGTAAAGGATTTGCTGGGGAAAAAAAGCCGCTAGCACGTTAGTTAAGATCCTCACTGCTCTTTTCCTTCTCACTTTGACAGCACAGAGATCAAACTGAAAACTGAAAACTGGAAATTGGAAATAGTAAATCAAACAATCCACTCAAGCACTAATAGCTCAAGAGAACCACTCTCACACAGGTCAGTTATGCAAGAATTTTCTGTGCAGATTAAGAAGTCCTAGCTTTTTTGTTTCAAAACTTGTTTCAAGTTTTGAAAGCAGCAGCATGTAGGTTTCCTGGATTTTTTTTTAAATCATCACCACTACCACAAAGGATGTTCTCACACTCCTCAATGAGCCAAGGCTCTAACTGAATGGGGTCATTTGAACAGGATCTCCTACATGGTTAACTTCACCTCTCTCCCATAAGTATGCCCCAAACTCTCTGTCTGTGTAAATCAACAGAGCTAGGACAGATTCACTGAACATTAAACTGGTAACATCTGCTGAAACACATCAACTAAGGATATGACCGATGAAAAAGCATTTGGAGTAGAAAGAGGCTTCTTTCTACCAGCTAAACCAGAAAGGCTTGGATGACTCTCAACAGTCTATTACAATTGCTTCAAACACTGGGTGTGCAACCTCCAGTTTCATTACAAATACTGCATTTGACATTCTGAGTTAATGCCCCTATGCACAGACAGGATTAAAGTGTGACTGAAGCTACAAAACTAAGAGTACTTGCAGTTGCCTATTACACACCCAAAGCACTTCAATAACATACATGTGGCTTTGCCTGACAATATACTAACTGGACCCTGTGGCAGACACGTAATTGATGTTTATAGCACAGAAATACTCACCTATATGGGAGCTCACAACTTCAGTGGGTTTGTGTGAAGTTCAAACTCATTTCAAATATACATTTATGCTCCCACTGAGAAGTGTAGCTCCACTCCCCGGAACCAAAGACGAAGATAGCACCTCAGCTGCACAGGAGCAAGCCTGGGTAGTTTAATATTTTACAGTTTTATACTTTTGGTGAAATCATCTCAACCCCACTCTTGCCCTGAAAGTGCAATGCTACTACTCAGCCGAACGCTCTTCTGGCGTCTTGTTTAATTCAAGAATTTGGCTAGATTAAGAGAGCTTGCCAGTGCAGCAACAGTGCTGATGTGTTAGACAGACAAGTTACTTGGAGACACAAGCAAAACGAAGTGCACGACGAGCAGGCTCGGGGTCCCAGCCCCGAGTGCAGCTTTCCTGCTGCAGCTGGTGTCTCTCGGGATCTAGTTACGAGCACAGAAGTAGGCTCCGACCTTTTTTCTCTTAGGGCACTGTGAAAAGGATTAAAAAAAAAGAAAAAAAAAAAGGAAAAGAAATTAAGAGGGGAAAAGGAAAACAATAAAAGGAAAAGGGATAGGGGAAGAAGGAAGAAAGAAAAGAGAAAGCGTAACAAAAAGAAAATAGAAAGAAGAAATAAGAAGTAGGGGGAAAGAAAAAATGGAAGAGTAAATGGGAAAAAGTGCCTCCGGCTGAGCGCAACCCCCGCACCCGCACGGGCATACGCCGCCCCTTACCGCACCGCCGGCTCCCTCCATCTCCCATCGCCGGCCGCGGCGGATCGCAGCCGCCCTCCCGCCGGGCCTCGCCGAGTCCAGCCGCGCCGAGCCGGGCTGTTCCGTGCCGTGCCGCGGTGCCCCCCGGCCCGCAGTTGAAAAGATTTTAAATAAATAAATAAATAAATAAATGGGAATTATTTCAGGATTAGCAAAGCAATAGAGTGAAAAGCACAACCCAGACCGCGTGCCCGCAGCAGCGGCGCTGGGCAGGAACACGACCAAAGCCCGCGGGGACTGGGACATGCCGTACTCTGCTCTTAAATCCCCTCAGTGCGGCTCGCAGTTGTTGGGAGAGGAAGGAGAAAAAAAATTAAAAAAAAAAAAAAAAAAAAAAAAAAAAAAAGCAGAAGCCTTTTCCAGCCCTGAGGCTTCCCTCCCAGTTTGCCTTCAAAAAGCAGAAGAGCCCAGATGTCTCTGAAGTAACTCCATCTGAACACTCGAAATTGATTTTCCGTTTTTGTTCATTTTTTCACAGTTCGCTGGAAACTCTCTTGCATCGTCAGGTTTTAGAGCACTCGGCCACATCATTAGAATTTCTCTAACTAGGACCTCTGAGTTTTGTTCTTTTAAGTAAAAGTGGGGTTTCCCTATCAAAAGCTGTGCTTTAGAAAATACTCTCAAATCTCATCAGCCCAGTTAGAGGAGTTAACTGCACAAGTAGCTGGCAGACTACATAAAGAAGGATGTCAATTTCTCTAAGTTCAGTATATCTATGTTTTGTTCAGCGACAGCTGAAAACTTCTTTGGTTTTAACCAATCAAGCTTGATATAGACTTTCTGGAACAATCTCTGAGGACCAAGAATCACTGAACACATTGTATGTCTGCTTCTTTCTGACCATAGGTAAAAAAACCCGTGGGTTAGGTGGTAGGCAAGGTTGTTCTCTAATGCTGTGCCCTTCTGAAAGGCTTTGGACAGTGCTGGTGGTAGAAGTGCATCACCATGAAGTCACTGACATAAGTGTACCACACCCAGACAGAGCAGCACCTCAGTGGCTGAGGAGACAGCCTAGCCCTGCCTTGCTCCCCACTGGCCTCACAGCTCAGTGCCAGAGCCACCCTTCCTGCCAGCACTGGGCAATCTCAGCCTTTCAGCAGGCCCATGGGGAAAAAAAAATCCATTTCCAATAGGAAAAAAGTATATCCAGGCATAACGCTTGAAGCACCCTGGCCTAAAGCTTTCCCTGTTTGGCAATAAGACAGGGGTAGCAGCACCATCTCTGGGCTCTTCCAGCTTGTATGGGGGCTCCATCTAGCACCACCTCCCCATACTCTTCCCAATAGGGCTGTGGCATGCAGAGTTTGCACTGCTTCCCCTAGACTGAACCCACTATTTCTCACCACTTCCAGCTCCACGTTTACCCTAACAGTACTGCCCCTGCTTTACACACACGTCACCTGGCAGCAGACTGCACTGCCTCTGTCATCTGGGTGCCAGTGGTGTACACTGTATTTCAGAAGGCATTCTGCTCTTTCCCTACAACTTCCCCTCTCCCCATCCTAAGCCTCTCACCTGCTCCCCAGCACCACAAGCTGTCTTTAACCATCCATCCCAGGAGCAGCAGCAAAGGACCTGCTCCCTGCCCTGCTCAGCAGCACTCCAGTGCAGTAGTTTTTGTCCTCTGGGAACAGATGGGTGAAAACCTGTCTTTCCATCCCCTGAAACAGTTGGCAAGGGTCCCAAAGAGGTCCCTTGTGATGCAGCTCCTCCGTGCCCATCCTCTGTGGCTGAATTGCACCTACAGGGCTGGGCGATGTGCTGAACAGCTTCACCCCTCTCCCCCAGCCACAGCTGTGATGACAAACATGTTTTGGCCCCGCCAGGGTTTTGTCCCATCTGTCAGACACCCTGGGGGCCCTGGGAGCCGGTGTGGGGGCACAGGCTGCAGATTCCCCATCTGTGCCCCATCTGAGATGGCTAATGCAGCGGAAAAAGAAACCACCCAGTGCCTGGGTCTCCGAGGAGTTGATGCACTCTGCCTGCCTCTTCCCTGACAGGCTGAGGTCATGAGACTGCAGGCCAGGAGGAAGCTGGGAGCAAAAGCAGGGCTGGAGTCAGGGGCTGGTGATGTCCCTTGCAAGGCACATTGCCTGCCCTGGGCACCTAGGTGGCTGATGCAGCCACTGCACTCCAGTTTGGAGCTTTCCCACCGCCTATTTGTGCTGAGAAAAATTTGACCTTTTCTCTCTTATCCAGACATCTGGCCTGAGTCACACAGACATTTAGGCTGCCAGGAATATGCTCTGTGCCGAAGGACTGGGAAAGGAGTGCATTTGCCAGCGTGGGGCAGGATGGTCCTGCAAGCCTCTGCTATGTGGGCATCTAGCTCTTGGTTAGCTTCACTGCAAAGGAGGGTGATGGAGTCCTGAAATTGGCACAAACTGGTGTTTCTTACACCACTGATCATTGTTTTCTGCAGAAGGGCCATATTAAATCCTAAAACATTTCTGTGAATGGGCAATCAGCAGAGAAAAGTGGTGGAGTTAGTACATTTGTGAAGGAAATCTGTATTTTTTTGTCCAAACACTTGATATAAATTTCCAGGCTATATTAAAAAAAAGTCACAAAAAGCTGACACAAAACCTGGCAGCTTTCTAAGCAGTTATGAGATACATATCACAGTTAGAGAGCACTCTTAATTGTTAAAGAATTTAGTCATGAGCACACAGCATGTATCTTTAAACAGCCCAAACAGAAATTTAAAAAAAAAAAAAAAACCAAAAAAAAAAAAAAAAAAAAAAAACAAAAAAAAAACAACAACAACCTCCGAATTCCCCAGCCATGGGCAGTGATGGGGAGCAGGGAGCCAACACTGGGCAGGTGATGTGCATGGGTGCTGGGCTGAGGCTGAGCAGGGCATGGGAAATGGGAGACAATCTCAGGTGGCTGCGGCAGACAGAAGTGTGAAAGCAGCACGAGGGACAGCTAGATTCCACAGCTTGGATAAGAGGGATTTGTGTGAGAAGTAGCCAAACTGCAAAGGCAGTTGCTGGGGGTATTTGGGGGAGCAGAGCCTTACAAAGCCAACAGTGCTCTAGTAATGCTGTCAGATGAGATTGCCCAGGTCACAGTCTTGAAAATATCAAGTTTGGGTATGCCAGGTAGCAAAATTGGTACCCTAGGCAAACAAGTAGTCATGGCGGACTACTTGTTTGCAAAGAGTCTTGAGTAGAAAACAGGAGGTCAATAAATAGGAAAATGGGTACAACAGGCAGTGTCAAGGGCTGCCAAGATGTGCTTGTCAAGCAAGCCCACACCTGACCACCAGAGTGGGAGCAGGGCAGCAAATCAAACCTGGTTTTCTGACTATAACACATGGGTCAAACCTGCTTCTTGTCACAACACAGGAGTCATAGGATGCTTTCTCTCATCAGCAGGGAAGAACATAAGTGGATACATGGATTGAGTATTGCTGTGTCAGTGCCTGTTCCAGCCAGATGGCACCAGTCTATTCCCCTCCACTTTCTAAGACAAACTTGTCTGGGTCAAAAAATTCACAGCTGAAAATACCCTACCCACTATACCACCCCATAAAGAAGGGGAAAAAAAAAAGAAAAAAAAAAAAAAGGAAAAATAAAAAAGGAGTATATTAAAATCAGTGTTCTGCAAAGAGTAACCAATGCATAAACTCTGTCATTTTTTGCCAATAAAGTTGCTGTCACAGGGAAGTAGTACAGGAAACTCACTTCCAAATAATCTTTCCCGATTCAAAAGGCAGAAAACCACAAGTAAGCAATCATCCAGGTACTCACCATAAAATTTCTCATGACATTGCATTTCAAATCAAAGAGGCTCTCTTTTGTCTTGAGGGAGAAGAAGGCTAGGGATATAAAAAAATAATATCATTAAAAAAGCCTAACCAGAAACACCACTATCTGCAGATGGAAAGACAGAGTTAATAATTTACTGGATTTTCCTCGTGTGTCTGGATTTTCTGGAAACAGCTGGGAAAACTTTTTTTTTTTTCTGTTTTACTCAGAAAAACATAGTCGCCATTGCAACCAGTTTTTTTCTGAATTAAAGGTGGAAAAGAAGCTGCAACACCACAAGGGGAACAGCAAACTTGGAGGTGAGGTGCAGAGTAAGAAAAACAGCATGTGTAAAGATGGAAACCTTCCTATTATTTTTTTAAAAGAATCAGGTATAAATTATTGTAGTAAAGCCCAGGGTGACAGCTACAGGACGGAATGAGTCAGTGGACACACTGGCTATTTAGCCAGCTTCACTGTGAGAAGGTGTATGCTGCAAGCCATACAGTATCACCATTCTTCACTCGGCTTTTTCCTCACAGGTTGTCGGGTTTGCTTGGCCTCATACCCAGAGCTCCTGGAAATTTCCCTTTTATGGGTTAACTGACTCTTGTCCTGCTCCTTCACTCATGGACAATTCTCTAGAGTCTTGCTATGGCCAGGAAACAACCCAGAGACTTCACTGCACTCTGTCCTCCATCTGACATGTTCATTGGGAGGAAAGGAAATGACCAACATTCCCTGCCCAGGGAGCCCTGTAACTAGCCAGAATTCGACCATTTGATGGGAAATCTCTAATTTGTTACTCTATCCATCAGAGTTTGGGGATCTCCAATTTTATATTTACTTCCAAAACCAGGGACTTCACAGTACTTCCCCTGATGAGTGAGTCTTTAGAAATCTCCTTATTAGCCCAAGTCAAACTGAAGAACACAGAAAATCCTGCCGAACACAGAAAATCCTGCTTTGGAAGGTTCTTGGTTACCTCATGGGTCTCTACTGTCATGTTCTCTCTTAATCTTAACCCTTACTCTTCCCCATGTCTAGCAAAACTGTCACTTTGGCCTTCTCTTTAGAAAGGGCTGCAGAGTCCTGAAATCAGCCCATCTGTAGGGGGTACACTTCTAAACAGGCTGCCGTCCCCTCCCCAACAAACAGCCAGAGCTCCTGGATGTCTATGTGGAACTGATGAGCCCACAGCAGAGCAGCAGAGCATTTTGCAGCAGAGACAGGTCATTAAATATTTTCTTTGCCAACTCCCTACAAAAGTGGCAGCCCAATGCA